CAGTACCTATGCCTCTGGCATATCAGATGTAACAGGCGAGACTGAAACCATTTAACAGTCATTTATCTGTGATGATGTTGAAGTTACTGCACTAACAACTTATCTTCACTGTGGTTTAAGCTAACAGGTTTTACTTTACAACTGCACTTGACTAGAGCCAGGCACCTGGTCTACTAACATAGCTCAACTGACAAGCAGTAACCTAGAAATTCAGGGTAACACCACGATTTTGCAAAAGCTTCTCTAACTAGTTGACCATCACACCTACAAAATTTTAATATTTGCTGAAACATAACAGACATCATCTGTTCTTTAGACTTAACCATTTAACATGATCTGAGCCTCATGTTTTCATGGCACCACACTTCCCCCCACCACCACCACTAGTAATGGACATATCAAATGTTTGAAATTGCTTATTTCAACATTGCATCCATTGGGAAAAATGAAACTGCAGACACTGATTTGTTTGGAACAGGCATCACTGGAGAGGCAGGCAGCTCTAACGGCTACGCGTGATGACAGTATGGGGGAGAGACACTGAAGAAAACAACCGCATTTGGAAACGACAGACAAAGCGGAAAGATGCAAACGAGATGAGTTTAAGGGTTTGGTTTTTTTTTTTTGAGTTGCAATTTTTAAAAAAGGCCAAAGCAGTAAAAGAACAAAGAAAAAAATTAACTATTTTTCTATTTTATGCTCCATTTGACCAATAACTAATCTTATAAATATGAGCATTATTCATAATTGTTACAGTGAATCCTAGTTAACATACATGTTTCTTTCTCCTCCGCTATTCCATCTTCCACAGTGCTTAGAATGTAACGTATTTATTGAAAGAACTTGAGATAAAAGTGTGACCAGTATGTAGGCATAAGCTTGATCTTCGATTCTCTAAGTGTAACATTACTTAGGTCATGGAAGTGCTACTTTAAAAGGTTTTTTTAATGTATCTCTCTCTATATATATACACATATATGTGCATACAGACACACGCTTATATTGTGTGTGGGTATGTATGTTGTATATATAACGTTCCTTCGAAAGCTCCCAAACAGCTATCAATTCAGTTTCCCAGATCTGGAATTTGATCAGACTAGTAACAACCTGTCAGCTTTAAATATTGGACTATTTGTTTCCCTGTGTCCAGTGCCTAAGATCTCGTTAATTACCTAAACTCTCTTTCTGTAGGTCTTGTTAATTACCCGTCTCCTGTCTCAGAGGACCTTGTTAATAACTTGTACAATCTCTCTAAAAAGGTCCTAATAACACATTAAAATTAAAGATGCTTTTCTTTTAGCACTTGTCAAGTGGTGTAAATTGAGAAATTTTCACATCAGTTTATTAGCCTGCTGTAGTGTATTTTCCTAAACACAAAACAATTTCAGAGAAACGATGCACAAGGTTTGGTCACAAACAATCTTTGTTTTCCAAGAGTACTCTCAATTTCTTTAACTGTGTTCAATACAAAATCCACGTGGCTCCTGACTGCAAATTAACCTCTTGAGAGCCCTGACAATAGCAGTAATTGTAAGAATGAATGCAATTTAAGATAATATTAGGTAAAAGTTTCAACGCAGTGGATTAAGAAGTACGAAGACAAAACTATTATTGGTACCTGCTGGCTAAAAATACTAGACATATTGTGTGCTTAAAAATTCTTTACTGGCTGTATGATATAAATCCCCTGGAACGAACAGATTTTGTAGTATTTGCAAAACCAGCGTTTCTTGCCTCGCTATGAGACTGCAGCATTTTTAAATTGTCAAGAAATCAGCTCACAAATATCTATATTGCCCCTACACCAGACAATAAAAAAACCCAATCTTAACACTTATGTAATACTGTAATACTGTATCTATAAAACCCTTAAAAAATACTAATTTATCCACTCAGCATTTGTAAGAGGTAACAAAATATCATCCCCATTTTACAGATCAGGAGCAGGGAGACTAAGTGATTTAGCCAAAGCCACAGAACAAGCCTTTGCCAGGGCAGAGATTAATAGAAATTAGGGGTCCATATTTTGTGATTTCCTGACAACTAGTATTATACACAAACCAGGCAGGTTTTGTTTTGCTTTTCCAAACTACTTCTTAAACCTTCTTGAAATAACAATAATAAATAATAGTAATAAAAATAAATAATAATTTTCAAATAATCCTGGGATACTTCTTGCTTTTAGGAAAAAAATCCTGTAACTGTTGCTGAACCACTTCTACACTTTCTGTATCAGCAGCTGAGAAACACGTGGAAGATGTATTTATCTTCATTCTTGTAATTAGTAAATAAGAGTAATTAGCGACAGAGTATGCATACAGCCAGTTAGCACTTAACAACCGGTTGAGCGAAGGGCTATTCAGCAACTCACTTAGCCATCAGTTAGTGATGTCGTCATGGGCTGCTGTCCTGCACATCATTACCGCTTAGTCAACATTACCACACAATTAATTAGGATGGACTTGAGCCTGACCCAAAGCTCACCAAAGTCACCGAAAATACTCCCACTAACTTTACAGACATAGGCTCACTGGTGCTAAGAAGCTGACCTTCAAACTCTGCACATGAAGGAGCTGGGTTTGGTCATTTTTTTGGAGGGTAGGGGAAGAGGGTTGCTGTGGGTTTTTTTTTCTTCCACTTTGCACTATCTCCAGCTTGGTCCTACAGACTGAACACCCACCCTTTTGTGCCTATGGAGTGCTCCTGGCATACATCTTCCAGTTGAGTTTCATCAGACAGGAATCCAGTTCACATGCCCCAGGACCGTTTCATCACTCAGAAAAAGGTTTAGCTAAGTGGGGTTAACTGGGAGATCCACCTGCAAAGCAAACTCCTCACCCACACCAGAACACTGATTTTGGACACACCTTAATAAAAAGATACTGCCTGGTTTACTTGCAGAAATGGTATCCATCCAAAAGGGCGTAATAGCATGTTGAGTAAATAAAAAGCAACTCAAAGTCTAAATTCCCCGTGTATGCTTTCTGCATACTGAATGTGTTAACTCAACCTCATTCATTTTGTGCCCACAGATTTATACACCTCTTTCTTCACAGTATTACTAGTTTGAAAAATTAAAAATGGATTCAACAAATCCTCCACAGATAAAAGGTAAACTTAAACTGTAAACTTATTAAATATGCACATTTTGTATTAGTTTCTACTTCAAAAGAAAATCACTGTACAAGATACATTTGAAAGAAAGTGAACTTATTCTACAAGATTCTCACGGAACATAATACTGGAGCATATAAAAATCAAGAGCTTCTAACTCAAATTATTGCATGCTGGATATTATTCCATAATAGTTGTCTTACAGAAAAGGTCAAAATGTTTACTATTTTTGACTTTTTGAAAATAACAGAATATCTATTTGTCTTATCAAAAGTTTATGTTTACATAAAAGTCAAGAACTAGCAAAAGAGACTCACACAAAGCGGGGGAACAAATGACTAGAGTCCTTCTGAATGGGCACTGTGATGAGCTTTTTAATTACAAAATAAAGAAAAAAAAGTCCATCATGATTACCATTAAAGATTTATATTTATCAAGATCTACTGCATTCAAGAACTTCAAAAGATTTCACTACTTGTATCTAGCATCTGCCTGAATACATTTTTTCATTTAAAAAAAACCTAAATGCTATTTAATTTTAATTGTTATTTAAATTACTTCTCTTTAAAGGAGCTTATTTAAATGGAAGTTTTAACTTCTGACAATCCAAGCTACATCCTAACCTTACTCTCATCTAGAGAAATCCTTTATTAAATAAATAATATTCTAAGACTCTGTCTGTAAACATGTTATTTAAGACACTAGCAACTGACTTGACTCATAGAAGAAGCTAAGAAGATAATTCATTGAAGTCTGTATGAGCTTCTAGCAACTGAATCTTTTCTATAGCAGTTCCATTTCAGTTCAGTTATCTAATTCACATCCATGATTAGTTTTGTTGAGAAAATGATTATAAGTTTAAATCACGAGTGCATGCATTCTAATCTACGAATAAAACTGACTTGGGATGATATGGTAAGATCAACCTGTTCTAAAATCTTAAAGAATAAGATAACAAGAAACAAATTACTTTAAAAAAAATACTACTGTATCATTAATTAAGGAATTAATAGACAGGGAAAATGCAAATCTGTTAGAATCATGTTTTCCATTTAAAACAGTGATATATTTTACAACCTTAACATTCCAGTTTGCAGCAGTTTAATTTTAAATTCTACTTCCACCAAATTTAAGTCATTAAATAGAAATGAATCATTACCTTGTAAAAAAAGGACTGTTAATTTCTGGCATTTATATACAGAAAAAATGAGAATGCAAATGAATAAAAGTTAAATAATTAACTGCTTAAATATTTATCAGCCCCTGTAACTTAATTCACTCTGCTTAGCACATAAACTGCTGCCTTGTGCAATGACTTGAATACATAGGAACTCAGCAAAGCTACAGTGAGGCAAATGAATTCGAGCGTGGTAAGTGCCCATGTGGGTGCTCCCATTTAGAAACAGAATGGTCTTCAATTCTTGTGCTTTGATGTATAGAATCTAAATCCATTTCTTTCCCAAATGGTGACAGCCACAGGATTTGTTTTCATTACTTACATTTTCTTCACCCTTTTATTTATTCTGTTTCATCTTTCCCTTAGACTTTAAACTTTTCCTTCTAAAACGTTGACTTAGGGCAATGTAATAATTAGCGATGAGTGTTCAGTGAAAGCAGAAGATTTTCAGGAAGAGCCCATTCTGAAGGCTGAACAAGGTCTTCCACAAACGCAAGTACCCAAGAACATTCACAGTACATATTAGTAACATAAATGTAATTTCAAAATGAAGTAAGAAAAGATCAAACTATATAAAAAGTTCATTACTTTTACTTAGATAAGCAATGATATAAACATATATAAAGCACAAAGACTGTGTTCCTCAACACTTCAGTTTCATTTATATAACATGTGCAAGATATCAGATTGAAATACAGCAAAAACCTACCTTGAAGATGGCAACATGCTTGTAGGCTTGAAGTTTGTCATAAATGGATTTGTCGAATCATAATCAAAACTCTCCTGATGAGTTTCACCAAACGCACTAGGTGATTTCAAGTCAGTAGAACTGTCCGATCCCCCATTGCTAAGTTTATCTGACTTCTTGCTATCTTTTTTTCCAGTCACTCTTTCAAAAAGACTAACTTTCTCTTTTTTCTCTTTTTTAATTTCTTTTCTGATTTCAACAGGTTTGGAAAACAGACTTAAGTTTTGATCCCATGCTGCTGGGCTTTCCTCAAATGGATTCTTCTGTCTTGGCAGTGTAGCAAATTTTTGGGGTAACGAAGCACTCACATTGGTAAATGGGTCATTTTGTGCTTCAAGTGCAGTTTCATCAACTGTGCTGTCAAGCTGGTTCGTTTTAGAAGTATCAACACTTAGTGTCCTTCTATGTGGAGATTTTAGACTCCCTGCAAACAATCTGTCATTAGTATATCATCAATGAGACACTATATCATAGTTTATGACATGCAGAGAACCCATTTTAGCTTAGGTCTAGAAGCTTTGCAATTGAGTCGCAGTTCAAAACACTGCTGAGTAACTAAGCTATTTAAAAAAAAAAAAATGAACAGCTGTGGCCTTGACTTCGTGGCTGCGAAATGTTTATGGACAGACGCTACAGCAAATTCTTGTTTCCTGTCTGAAAACTAAGTCCTACAAAGAAGACAGCTATGACTAGTGTGCCATTCCAGAAAGCAACAGTCGCTGCATCATAACTTTGAACAACGAAAAGTATTTTCAGTTCTTTGTATAAATCAGGTTTAAAACTTTGGTGATCATTTTCAACTTTTTAAACAGACTTCTATTTTTCACAAGATGCTATTTTGCCTAGAGTTCCCTCTAGAATGCAATGCTTCACTACAACATGCTCTCCAATGAGGACATAAGAAGAAAAATGCTAAATTACCATACATTGTGACCAATAAAAGTTATTTCTTATGCTCAGGAACAGCAGTTATGAGTTACCACCAACTAATGGAAGTGAAAAAAAAATAGGCCAGCAATAATTCTTAACTTTTTGGCCTTGTAATTGCTTCATAAATTAAAGAAACATACTTCTGAATGCTCTAAGAGCAGTGAACTATAATTATAATGGTCACGACTTTTACTTACCACCTTCATCAACTGAACCAAAAGATTCTAGCTGACGCCTGAAAAGATGAGAGTAGCCAACTGTGCTGGATTTCATTTTCTCTGAGGAGACGTGTGATCCTGTTAAATCTGACATCGAATGAGCTGAGGATAGCCGCTGAGGTCCCAAAAGGAAAGGTTTTTTTGGTTTTGATTTCATTTGTACTTCACCACTACATACCTCTACGTTTGCATCAGGTATGTGAGTACTTGGGATGATTGCAGACGATGTATCCGAAAACGTCCCATCGTTCTTTCGACCCTTCATTTTGTCTTTTAGTTTAGCAAAAGGGGATTTGGTTTTGTCCTTCATTGACAAATCAAACATACTTGCTGTCATGTTATTCCTCATAAACTGAATATTGACCTTTATTTCTCCTCTGTCTTTAGTTCTCTTCCCTTGTCTGGACTCTAGGGGAAACCACCTTAAAGGAGAAAAAGAGCAAGTTAAGTTGTGTTTTCTGGAGGCTAGTCATTAAACTCTGGTTAGTTCGTTAATATATCTGGCTAATACAATTTAAAATATGAAAACCAAATTCCATACCAAAAATTAAAACATTCCTGTCCTGAAAATCTTTTTAGTCTATATTTGTTTTTTGAAGAGAAAATTTAATAACTAAGCAAGCACGAAGCTCAAAGCAGTGTTCAGCTGTTTCGAGAACCAAAATCAACTCTGGGGAAGCTTACTAAACTTCATCAAAGCTAACGGGCTCACATCTGCTTACTAAGGAGAATTTGTATCTAATGCTAATTATAAATCCAAATACATTTTATTTTGCTATTTAAAAGAACACTTGATATTTTTCAAGTGGCCTTTATTTAGCAGTGATGTGTAATACCTGAATGCATACTATGTGGCGAATATTACATCTAGTAACCTTTTCTCCTTTGATTTTGCTCAGGTTTATATGCTAGCAAACATTTTTCACCTCTGTCCCTTCCTTCTAACCACTGGTTAAGATTTATGCCAACTGCAGTAGCACTTGCAAAGAAATATCTGAGACCGCTGAATAGTCAACCATCATTTCAGTTCTGCAACTGCAACCCCTACTAACGTTGACGTTAACTCCACGAGCACCGGCGGCAGAACAGCGAGTGCGTAGGTGTATGTAACACCCACCCCTTCTTTTGCAGGTCACCAGTAGGATTAGCTTCAGAAATATTTCCACAGGCTTTGCAACCATGACATAAACCCCCACTCCTTGAAAAGAGATCAAAGGTGTGATCATCTGTTTCAAAAAGCCAAGTGTGCTTCTTTGCCGGGTCCAGTAAAGGCTTTATCATTATCCAAGCGTCTTATTCCCTATGGTGCTCCATTGTCCCATGGAAGCACCTGCAGAATTATGGCTCAATCTTCCTTCACCTAAATGAAGGACTGACAGGCAATCCCTTCTCCACACCCATCATCAACAGCCTTTTCCTATTCCAAAAAGGGCACAAGGGGCATGTTTCAGATCCGCCAGCTCCAAAGAAGTGCTCTAAGCCCACTGTCAGGAGAAACACATGCACGCATGCTAACACAACGGTGCATTATCGCGATAAAGTAACTTTTGAACTGCAGACTAAGAAATGAAATTGCCTATCAGCACAGATGCAAAATTGATCATGCAGTTATACATACATTATTCAATACTGCCAAATATAGAAAACAAGGTCACGAAAGGAGAAAAATAACCCTCACTTGCCTTTCAGATTTCATAAATATTTTTAAAGGTGACAGCTGCAATCAAATTTTCAGGCAGAGATACTATTTTCCGTGTTGACAAAATACTTCTAAAAGTGACCCACCAAAGAAATAACGAAAGGATAAAGAGTATTATGACTTTTTTTTTTGTTGCTCTGTGATGTCCAAAAGGTTTTATATCCCATACTAAACCAGAATAATTAAGAAATATCAGACCTTCTCTGTTCCGGCACTGGACAACTTGAATCCAGACCAGCAGATCCAGAAGTTCAAACTAGTAGAAGGACAATTAAACCTTTAGGAAGAAAGTTTTTCTTCTGTTGTGAGGTAACTTCATTTATGTATTTTAAATGAAATGCAAAACCTGAAATACGTTATGCGTCTGAAGAAGATGGATCGTTTTTCCTTTTAGTTAATAATGTTTCACTTCTTGGTAACTGATTCCAGAAACACTTTAAGTCATCTATAGAGTCGTTACAGAAAACACACACAACAGAACCAAGAGTAAGTCTTTTTTGTGATATATAATATCACAAAAACTGGAAGACAAGATAGCCAACTTTCTTTAAAACTCTTCTTTAAAAGAAAATACGTTCATGTATTCTCTTAAAAAATAAAAACAATACACAGCCATAATGAGCAAGCCCTTGCTCAGACAGATCTTGCCTGTGCAGGAAAAAAAACCCAAACCAAAACCCACCCTAAAACTGAGAAAGTCCTCCCCATGATTCCTTAGACAGACACTAAACAAACATAAATAAGGCTTATGAGTGTTTTAAGAGGCTTAACAGGCAGAGGACCTCACTTTTTGACATTCAAATTTAATGGCTCAGCCTACACTGTAGGAAAACAGATTCCCCTTCTCCCTCTTT